AAACAGAACAAAAGACAGAAACTATGTCGTAACACATAGGCAATCAAATCTAAACATGTTGGAGCCCCAGAGAAAGAAACTCAGAGAAAGGCAGAGGGAAACTTTGAGCAATTAAGTAATTCTTAACTTCCCATAGTTATGAGAAAGTGATGTTCTTGCATTTTCTTATGCTCTTGCCTAGAATCCAAAACTCTACCTGTTACAATGTTCTCAATACCCTCATTACATCTTTTCCTCATAACAAAACTATATCATCTACAATTTCCTCAACATGCAGCCTCTTCCTGTTTTTAGAGCCAAATTAATCTCAGGTGTAGCTTTACCATTTCCACAGAATCACACTTAATTACACAGAATTACAATTAAGAAATCATTTATTTTGCAAAAATCTTCAGACTCTTCAACCCACTTGTTAAGGTTTTATTTCCAATTTTAATAAACTCAGTCCGGCTGTTTCATCTCTCCGGACAAAAAACAAAAACAAAAAACCACAGCTTCAGCTAGTCCTGTTCTTTGCCTGGGACATCCCAGTATCACCAACTTCCGTAATTTTGTCACAAGTCTTTCAGAATTTGATGCATTTCAAAAAGCCCCAGATCCTGGAGTCATGTGAATATATAACTAAGTTTCGATTGATACTGGTCAGAGAGAAGAACAAGAAAAATATAACCTGAGCATCATCTAAAGGTTAACAGAAGATCAATAAGAACCCCAAATATGCTCTTTAACAATTACATGGTTTGAGAGAATGGGTCTCACTCATTTCTGAGTACTTGGGACCGGCAATACTAGTCTCATGCTCAAGTCGGGGAGAACTTTGGAAAGCATCCATCTTTTCACTCAATCCTTTGTAGGTCTGGAACAGGCCCTGGAAAATTATGAAGCCCTTCCCACTCCCTGCTAGTTCAAGCCAGAAGAAAATGTCTTCTGTTCTGTTCCAGCTGATGAAAATGAGTAAAACTTTCAGAGCACCTAAGTGACTTAGAAACCTGTTTCAATGGGGTTTAGCCTCCTAAATCAAATAGGTGCTTTAAAAACAGCTCTCTTGACTCAGTCTATGCCAGTGGTCACCAACCAGTAGATCAGGATCTATCGGTAGATCTTGGAGCCTCTGACAGGTGATCCTGACTGGTTTGGCCAAGAGGTTGTCAAGCCCAGCACTTCAGCTGCTTAAAAAGGTTGGAGACCACTGGTCTATGCACATGCATACTGTTCCCAAATGCACCTGAACTAACAGCTTTGCTTCACTTTCTTGCAGCAATTAAGTTTAGTTTCTAGACTGTGAGGCTTTTTTATTTGTTTTCATGGATCTTGAGAGGATTTCAGAGGTAAACTCGTGTATTGCTTCCATTCTTGCTTTTCTCCCAGGGCATGGCTTGCTCAATTTCTTTCTCCTGTATCCCTTCTTCCATCTTGTTGCAGATTGGCTTTACAATGAAGTCTCAAAGCTTCTTCAATCCCCTGAAATTACTTGAGCCAGTGGACACAGCTTTCTGTGTCTTATCATAAGATTCTCAGGAGCTACTTGTCAGGAGCACTTTTCTCCTTGTGCAGCGAGCGGGCAGAAGCCCTGCTTCCTTAATGAATATGCATAACTTTTCCTATTTACATCACTTTCTCCACCTAGTGGAGAAAATTGCAAACTGAAATACTGCACAGCACACACTTCTTGAATGTTACTGGTTTAACTTTAGGAAAACTAAAAATCCCTATAGGTGTCATACCAAGACTATTACTCTTACAAAGTTACTGCTGAAGACACTGCACCTCCCACTAATGTTTTTCAAAGTGGTCTGCTGACCCACTTTGAAAAAGCTGCTACTGAGCCACTCCAATTTGTTTACTTACCAGCTCAGCAGCCACTCCGTTTCCAAAGCGCTGTTACGCGTCAATCAGCACTCCCCACAAATGCTAGGAAAGGAAGAACAGTTAGCTGAACTACCCTACCGGGAGCTGTCCTGGTTACGGAATCAGTTGTGGACTCACTCCTTATACATACTAGTGCAGAGTTAGCTGAACTACCCTACCGGGAGCTATCCTAGTTATGGAATCAGTTGTGGACTCACTCCTCATACATACTAGTGCAAGTCAACAGTAACAAATATTCATATGAGCTGCTATAAAAACAGGGGGAGGGGAGGAACATAGCTCCCTCTCCTATCAAAATAAGTCTGAAGTGGAAGCTGCCATATTTTGTATGTATAATCTAACTATGTACAAAGCTTCCAACTTTCAAACTCTGCCAAAAAGGTTGCCTGCCTTTGTGTTTAACTGTGGCTGCCATTAGGGCCAATACATAAAAGTCAGTCTTACACGTTTTATAGGCCTTGCATACAACTGTCTCAGGAGTCAGACATTGATCTTTTCTCTATCTTTCTTCTCTTGATGCCAGTGCTCCAGAGTTCACTAGAGTTAAAATTATTCTCAGCTACTGCTTGTCTAGTCTGTTTTAATTCCCTCTTTTGGTTCTAACAAAGATATTTAAAGATTTCCTAAACAAATAAAGGATAGTTAGAGCAACATAAAAGCCAGCCAAATACAACTGCACATAGCTATATCAATAAAATTTAATAAGTTAAAATTTGTTACTCTCAAATAGTGATCATAAGATTCTACTAAATGAGCTTCTCAACCTTCACTTGTGACAGTATTCATTAGTTTCCTCATTGAGGACCTAATTCAAAAGGCCACTGAAATCAACGGAAAAGCTATTAGCTTAAAGATACCACTACATATGGATGCTCTATGGATTAAGCACATGTAGCAGTCACAGCAAACTTAAGAGTGCTACCTATAGTATGAGACTGTGCAACGTGATCTACTGATGCAAAAGGAATTTAACAAAATTCTTCCTGACAAGCTTGCTCTCACCTCAAACTGTCATTTGGAGCAAACTGTCATTTGGTAGTGCTGACCAGTTAAAGATTCTCTAGCTAGCACTTCTCAAATTTAGCGCCTAAAAGTTATACTTCAGGTCCATGGGCTGAGAAAAATTTACATGAGTTAAAGATCCTAGCATTTATTCTACAGAGTATAGCCCTTGTCTGTAGTGTTGTTTAAGAAAATGCATCTTTGGGCATGTGTAGACTGCTTGGCTCTGTCAACCGACAGTCAATGAAGCAGGGATTTAAACAATCCCTGCTTCATTAAAATAAAAATGGCCGCCATGCTGTGCCAACAATCAGCTGATCTGGCACAGCGCGGCAGTCTAGACGCGGATCGGTTGACAAGGGAAGCCTTTGTCGACCGCTCCTGTAAACCTCATTTCACGAGGCATAAGGGAGTGGTCGACAAAGGTTTCCCTTGTCGACTGATCCGCATCTAAACAGCCTCGCTATGCCGGATCTTCTGATTGTCAGCACAGTGCGGCGGCCATTTTATTTTAATGAAGCAGGGATTATTTAAATCCCCACTTCATTGACTATGTCAGATAAACTAGTTTACATGGCTCCGTCGATGGAACCATGTAGTCTAGACATACCCTCAGTGATGGAAATCTAGTGTTGTGGAATCCACTGCAAACAATTATGCAGATACTCCATACAGAGCGAGCACTGTGAACTACAGCATAAAATATTATTTGAAAGGAGAAACGAAAGACAAATGAACTGCTGGTTTTGGACTTTATTGTTTCAGGACTCAGGATACAGACATAGCACACAATCAGATGAAAGGATAAAATAAATTTCTCAATTGAGGATTTGATTTTTGCCAAACTAATAACTAGACTGAGTACAACAGTAGTTACATAAGCCTCATTTAACTATAAGGATTTCCAAAAATAGCCTGTGCCCAAAATTTTCACAGGCTTACCTGTTATCCCATCTTATAAAACGTGCATTTGACAAATCAAGCATGGTATTATAACAATTGAACATAGTTGTAGAAATTCACCATCAACATTAATGAGGGACTTTTGTTAAATATGGTCAAGAAAATACCAATTTTACGGAAGTAATTTGGTAAGAGCTAAAGGATTACCGGCCCAACGTCCTTGGTTCTGGGGCCTGGAGAACACAGGTCAAAAAAACAAAATAGAGTTTGCCTTCCCGCTGTTCCAGTACACTCATTAGGCAGAGTTCAGAGTGGGACTGGTCACTGCAAGCTCAGATCACCACCAAACACAACTTAGTTGATTTCAATATTTTAAAAAGCTAGTTGTTTTTATATGCCAAAACACACATTATAGCCCAAATTATATTTTGGTTCTGGAACCAACACTACAATAGTTTGATGTTCCCAAAGTTCAGTGCAAAGGCAAATACAGAGAACGAACATAAGGATGTTGGAAACGTTACAGCCACACTGAACACTAACTTTTCAAGTGTCCTCAGGAAAAGTGCTGAAGTTTTATCTACCCACAGGACAAATACACACAGTAAGAGTACAAGCTTGGTTACCAGTGCCACACTGCCTTTCCAAGGCCTTTGTGTTTCTCTGTGTTCACTGTAATCCTTTCTAACATTTCAGTTGAGATGCTAAAATGGTACCAATTGTGACAGACAAAGTCGAGTTTTAGTAAGTAGGGCTCTGGTTCCTTTCACAAAGGTCGTTGAGATGCTAAAATGGTACCAATTGTGACAAAGTCGAGTTTTAGTAAGCAGGGCTCTGGTTCCTTTCACAAAGATTACCCCAAGGCCATCAAAGAGCAGCAATGGCTTTCACTCAACACCAACACTTTCTGTTTAAGCATAAGGTTCCGTATTCCAGTATCAGTCTCGAGGTTTCATGTGCCCCTTTCTGTATACTTGATTCTACATTCAGGGGATTAGTTTATTTTTATTATGCAATGATGGTAGACACAGAAAGTGATAGTCCCAGAATAATGATGTCAAACCTTTCAGTGAAGCAGACTGATTCAGTTTTGTTTACTAAAGTTTAGAATATAATTTACTGAAATATATTTCTCTCATTGTGATGATCAAATTATGTACAAGTGTTTGCACTGCAATTTAAATATGGCCTGTTCACATGAGAATTAGGTAATGCATCCTTGAGAGTCATGTTGTACAGAAACACTTTAATAATAATATTGAAGTGCGTAAAACTTTTGATGTCTACATGACAGCTGCTTGTACACCAGATTAACTTTTACTAGGCATACTCTCTAAGCAGACAGAGTTTGGTGAAATATCAGATGGTTGAAAAGAAAAATCTCAATTCATTTCCTCCTGTTACTCCCACCAATGCCAAGCATGGTGGCCACCCGGATAAAGATGTTAAGTGTATCCATGTAGATACCCATACACCTAAAAAAACAAAAACAAAAAAAACACAAAAAAGCCAGTAAAAAAACAAAAACAAAAAAACCACACAAAAAAGCCAGTTAGTGTCATGAATTTACATTGACTGACAGTGTTGCTTCTAACTCTACTTATAGTAAATTAAACTAAGAAAATGTTAAAAAATACATAAATCAGGTTGAGGGCCTGAGTGTCACATGGCTTGATTTTTGGAATACTACATTGTTTATGTGCATCTTATTTTTCTGACATGAACTGTGTGATCATTACAAGCAGAAACTTGTAATTGTTACAGACTTCAATTATGACAGACAGCTCTTATTTACATTGGTTTATATCATATCCTGGAAACTGGAATGACAAACCAAATTTAAGCCATAGATGGATAAAAAATGCACAGTAATTTTGCACTTACAGCTAAAAAACGTATTGGAACTAGGATTTGTCCCAAAACAACTGAGCTTTCCATAAGGTCAGTGGAACCAGGATTTAGAACAAAGTTTGAACATTGGATAGGCTCCCTTTTTCTTCCTCCCAATAGCTTATTCCCTTTTCTTTTAGAGTCAGTTATACATACAAGAAAAAATGGCTCATGAATCAAAAGGCTAACAGAAATATTCCTTTCCAACCCAAAAATATAACAGACATTCAAAATGTCTTATTTCAGATTTGGCTTTACACACAAAAAAATTATCAGATCACTTACGAGTTAATGGGGTCATATTTTGCCACTCCATATACTGAAACTGGGTGTGTCTCTGCACGTTTGATAACTTTTTGTGTGTCATACAGAAGGAACATGCCAAACAGGATCAATCCACCATAAACTGCTACAGAATACAGCCCTGCTCCAAATGCAGATGTAGGAGGCAGGAACATAGATCCTGAAATAAATGTGCAAAAAAGGTGTTAAAAGCAAGCCTCTGTGTTGCATGTATGAAGCGGTTAGTATTAATTGAGAAAGAACATGATCATACATTATAAATCATGCAAAGAGCATCCTGCAAGAATGCTTACATTTTCATGATGCTTCTTGTATATGTCAAATACTATAATGGATTCTAGCAGACACGAACACTAATGATCATATGATTAGACTACCATAATGCACAAGCGTAATGAGGTCCACATGCAACCTTCACTTCAGCATTTTGTGAGTTGAGTGTTTAACTATCCAGCTTTAATTTAAATAATGAGAACTCATACTCCTTTTACAGTTTCCTTAAAATATCTTTTCACCTAGTGGGTGAAACAAAAACCCATTTTCATATGAAATACTTCCATGTCAGATCATTTCACAAAGCAATTCTATCAAGTATGTTACAAAATCAGAATATACAGAAAATACATTTAAGAGCTAATCTGAATTAAGTTTAACTTGGCAATTTTAATATTTGCTACTAATAGACACCACTACAGTTTTTTGCTGTGTTATGCTGTATTTTTGCTGTGTAAAAAATATCTACGGTAAAAAAAAAAAATCTATGAAGTCCACATCTGTCAGTATTCTGTATGGAGAGTATTTATGGCATGGTTTTAAACCAGCAAAAACATTATTTTAACAGGGATATGAAGACAACTTGCTCTGGTACCAGTCTATAATGCAAACAATGTTGGAAGCAGAAGCTAGACAAATTAAGACTGGAAATGAGGTGTAAATGCAGAGATTGAGAGAATTAAGCATTTAGAACAATTTACCAAGGGTTGTGGTGGAGAACCCACCACAGACAATTTTTTAAATCAAAATAGGAAGTTTCTCTAGTAGATCAGCTTTAGGAATTATTTTGGAAAGTTCTAGGACTGCTATTATACAGGTCAGACTAGATCAGAGATTCTAAATCCAGAAGAATTGCTGTGAAGATATCAGCTTCTGAAATACCATCTAGCCAGGTACTTTTGGGTATAACTCTTAGTCAAGGCCAGTTTCATTGTAAAGATAGCTCACCGAATTATGCACTATTTTAGACTCTTAAAAGTCAAACAACAAAACAGTATTTTGCTTACCAACTGAAGAAGCCAAAACAAGGCCCAGGCCTACTCCAAGTGGTCCTCCCATGTTCAGAAACTTTTCACTTGGTGCGCACATGGCCACAGTATTCCTTCTGTGTACCAACCAGCTCTGATTAGCAGAGGACCACCCAACAAGGTCAATGGAGCCACCACCGCACCCATGACTCCTAAGTGAAGAAAAAGACAAGCAAGTTTGGAAAATGTAGTTATGATCAACGCTGCATATATTGAATTGCTAAAGATAAATGTCCTATCCCAGAGTGTTTTTCAGCCACATCACTGAATCAATAGGTCAAACTTTGTACTAATGTACACACTATTCAACACTATATTGAATCCTATTGAGCTTAATGGGTTTGCAAAAGGAAGATCCAATGGAAAATGACGCGGAAGATATTCAGTACAATGCCGCAAACTTACAGAAACAGTATTACACTTCACTGTATGCCAAGCTTTATGATCACTATACTAGGTGGGTCCCATACAAGCCAGTAAACGCAGTAGCTATACATATATGCAATATTATCACATTAGCAGTTCTGAAATCCACATAAACTGCAACTCCGCATTAAGATTCTAACGAATATTGCTTTGAAAATAAGCAGTAGTGTCACTTGAACCCATTAATACATTTTCAGTGAGACATTTGCAATTCTTCCATCTGGACAGAAAATTGAGTGTGTGGACATTTAACGTGTCAAATAATACTAACCTTTCAGGAGTTACAAAAAGCAGAAGAAAGAGGATAAATGCTCTCTCTGATATATACTGTGAATACAAGCCCTTCACAGAGACACGTCAGTTTCCTAAGAAAGGGCTTCAGATGACAGACCTCGTTTAACAAACAAATTGCAGGAAATAAGAACATAAGAATGGCCATACTGGGTTCGACCAAAGGTCCACGTAGCCTAGTATCCTGTCTACTAACAGTGGCCAATGCTAGATGCCCCAGAGGGAGGCAACACAACAGGTAATCCTCATGTGATACTCTCCTGCCACTCATTTAGAGTATAGACTGTTCAGGAACAACAGGCTGGGGAGAAAAGGAGGAGGAGTTGCACTACGATTGCTCTGAACTCCAGTATAAAAAGAGGGAGAAAAACCTGTTGAAAGTCTATGGGTTAAGTTTAAAGGAGCAAACAGCAGTGATGTTGTGGTTGGTGTCTGCTACAGGCCACCGAATCAGGTAGATGAAGCTTTCTTCGGACAACTGAGCGAAGCTTCCAGATCGCAGGCCCTGGTTCTCGTGGGGGACTTTAATCACCCTGACATCTGTTGGGAAACCAATACGGCAGTACACAGGCAATCCAGGAAGTTTTTGGAGAATGGTGGGGATAACTTCTTGATACAAGTGCTGAAGGATCTGACCAGGGGCCGTGCGCAGCTTGACCTTCTGCTCACAAACAGGGAGGAACTAATAGGGGAAGTGGAGGTGGGTGACAACCTAGGAAGCAGTGATCATGAGATGGTAGATTTCAGGATCCTGACCAAGGGAAGAAAAGAGAGTAGTAAAATACACACCTTGGACTTCAAAAAAGCAGATTTTGACTCCCTCAGAGACCTGATGGGCAGAATCCCCT